CCCCAAAACCCCAAAACCCCAAAACCCCAAAACCCCAATGATTTGGCTTCAGGTTGAAAATAAAAATTTAATTAAACTTATTTCTTAAAATTAGCTTAAATTATTAAGCAAAACTATCTTGCAAAAAATAAGGATAAAACCGATGGAAACATCAAAACAGCTTTGTAGAACTTCTAGTTGCGGAAATTTTAGAGGCTACTACTGTAAAGATCACAAAGAAACTCTTTGTCATAGTTGCCATGATGCTTTTCACTTCCAGTGTGATTACATGATCCTACCCAAACCAGATGAAATTGTGGAAGCTACCGTACTCCTTCAAAGTTTTGTGCATAGTCTGTATCAAGATGCCAGCGATAGCAAACTAATGGATAAAATCAAAGGACTTCAAGAATCTTTAGACAACTTTAATAACGTGGTAAAGAAATATAAGGAAAAAGCTTTCTATGCAGTAAAGAAAGATGAGTTCCTGACATTTAATGACCTAAAGTTAGAAGCCAGGAGTATCAAATCTGATGCTTTCAAAGGAAAATATGGGATATCTAAAGCCGGAGACAACCATATCTTTGAACTCCTGTTTCATTTGCAATTGATAAAGTGAATGAATAAGAAAATGAAGTCTCATAAAGATATGAAAATTGAAAATACTCAAATTGAATCTGTGAAGCCTGTAGATATTGGTATAGATACTGATAGACCTACCTGTGACCCTATAGGGGAGAAAGAAAAATTGGATATGGAAAATACAGATTCAGAAAGTAATCATCACAAAGAAGAGGTTGAATTAGATACTGGCATTGAAAAAGATAACACAAACACAGAGAACTCAATTGTTATCAATAACCAGATTTCTAAAAGCAGGATTTTGGAAAATGAAATCAGTAAATATCAAGCTAAAGAGGAGACTCAATCGCAGTATATTGAAGAAATGAAAGAAGAGATTAATGACTTAGTCAAAGAGAATACGTATTTAAAGGAAAATATGAAGACGAATAAAAATATTAAGTCTGAATCAGAAACTATAGATGATTACTACCAGGCGAAATGAAGGGCATTATACAAGAACTATTTCAAAATAGGCCATCAATTTGATCAGGATTCAATTTGCTGATTAGATTTGAATTCGACTATTGATATAAATTTTATGAATGCTTTACTGCGCCATAGAGTTAAACTTCCGAGAATTCAAGAACTTTCTTTCGAGTCTCAGTATTGCAAAGATTTGAATTATCTTAATAGATTTATATCCCAAGCTATATCAGGAGATTTAAAACTATTTAATATTGTATGTTCCAGCTGGATTATTGAAGGAGCAAAGATCATTTCAGGGTTATCAAATACATTATCAAAAGTCATAAAGGAAGCAGATTTAGGTGGACTTATATTAAGCTCTCAGCAGTTTTGCGATATTATTGGCTATTCTACTCAGATGGAAAGATTAGTTTTTAGATCCTGCCAAATAAATATAGGGAAAGATATAATCGAAATCAAAATGATAAATACAAGAATGCATTATTTAGGCTTTCCAAGCACTCAGATAAAAGATCCATGATGGCCTACTTCCTTATCGGTAGAAGACATGTTTGGAAAAATCATTAAAGCTGTGAGTGGCTCTTCAATTAAAAACACATTGGAGATTTTAGATATTAGTGATTGATGAGTGAAAAAGCAAGAGATTATCAAAAAATTGAAGAAAAATGGGTTAGAAAATGTTTTAGTACAAAAGAATGATAAAACACAGTAAATAAACATAATTTTATTTTTCAATCCCTAAATGAACAAAACTCTCACTAAAATCTAATCCTATTCTCACCCACGCTTAACCTACAACTTTTCCATTGAGCCAACCTCAAAACTCCCATCTAAATTCCCTCATTCCCCAACCCTCCCACTATCCACCATCCTAAATCTCTATTTTCCTTTCATAACTTCAGTGTGGTCTTCTGACTTCTAAGAGTCTTGGTCGTGCTGGAACCAACTGAGAACTAGAACCTCCATGCTTCCTTTTGTAGTCAGAAATTTTATTCAAGAACGGGATGTGATGGTGGGGTTTTGGGGTTTTGGGGTTTTGGGGTTTTGGGG